GAGCTTGATTAGCTAGTCCAGGTGGGCCTGATTGGGGTTGGAACTAATCTTTGCAGGACACCGGCCCTCCAGGACCGAGTTTGGGCACCCCTAGTCTAGGGGGTCGAATCGAGATCGCGATCTTTTTTTGATTAATCATGCAGCTCTAGTAACACCCATACACTCTCACATTTACACACACTCATGCACACACTGTTTAGTTCATAAAATCATCCCAATCAATGTGACATTCTTAATTATTTCCAAACAGCTGCTTAAGTCATATTGTGAAATTAAATTCTTATCGCAAAATTTATCGCAGACAATATCGCAATGTCAGTTGTTTCCAATATCGTGCAGCCCTAGTGTTCATTCTTATTCTGATTTATAAAACTCAAGAGGAAAGATTCAATGAAGCGCAAGCCATTTTTTTTTATGCATTACTGAAATTCAATCTGCTTGTGTAGTGCATGTGGATAAAGTTCTCCATTTGTTTGCTAAGAACACACAAATACACACAGGGTTGTAAAAGTCTTCAAGGACACACATATAGGACACAAACACACATAACACACAAAAAAACCCCAATAAAGCTTAAACAAGTCCTCAAGTCTTTGTTGAACACTATAGTTTTGCTGGAATGACTTTTTAATCAGTTAATAACGGAATATCTCTTGATCATGTGTGTGAAATCTGACGCATCTAAAAGTCTGAAAGTATGAATAACTTTGGAAAATTGTGTGATGTAGCAATTTTGAGAAAGCACGACGTAAAGCTGCGACGCTGGAAGAACAAACAAACGCTGTGGAGATCCAAAAGGTTAGGCACTGAGAAAACAGGTGGAATGGATTGGAAAATGACCTGGCGATGATGTCACATGGTGTCGAATCCTGATTGGTTAGAGTTCTTCATAGTCTCCGCCCTCACTGTTTCCGGGTCCGTCTCCTCCCGCCAGGAAAGCCTCAAGATCATCCACATTTGCTGCTTTCTTGGTCCTGGAGGATTTCTTCTTCTTCTTCTTGTCTTTCTCATCTCCCGTTCCGGGCTCCTCTTTTTCCTTTTTCTTGTGCTTGTGTCGTTTTTTGCTGCTTTTCTCATCCTCCTAAAACAACAAGAGAATTTCAGATAACTAAACAGTGGGACAGAAAACAGAATATATATATAAAAAAAAAAAACAAACAGAATGAGCTTCAAGCGTAATTAATATATTACTAGCCCCTTTCACACAGTGATACCAGTAAATATCCAGAAAATTTCTGGAACAACTTTACCGGTATATTCAAAAAAGCGCTGTTCACACAGACAAAAAAGTTTTTTTTTCCTGGAAAGAACGTTCCAAAGATCCATTCTAAAATATTGGCAAATTATGACATCATTAACCAGAAATGAGCTCTAAACGGCTGCGCTTGTATTTGTAAACAATTACAAACTCTGTGGATGGATTGGTATTGTGAACAACTTTGATAAAAAACATGTGGGGGAACACTTTCGCATGTCGAGATTTTCATAGTATGTGTGTGCGCTGCCGCTCACTGGCTGCTTCACGTGGACACGCGTCAAGCAACTGAAGCAGAGCTTGAAGGTAAACAGCAGTTTATCATAAGCATTTTATTGATCATTTTTTTACACAGACGGCATTAAAAAGGAAGATCAGGCCCATGCAGAGACCGTTCAAAGGGCATGCGCAGGATACATTTTTTGAAGAGCGCGGGGGTGGAGTGTGGGGCGCGTTGTTGTTGCGTTCCGATCAGCTGTGTTGTCGCGCGCGTTCCGATCAGCTGTGTTGTCGCGCGCGTTCCGATCAGCTGTGTTGTCGCGCGCGTTCCGATCAGCTGTGTTGTCGCGCGCGTTCCGATCAGCTGTGCTGTCGCGCGCGTTCCGATCAGCTGTGTTGTGGCGCGCGTTCCGATCAGCTGTGCTGTGGCGCGCGTTCCGATCAGCTGTGTTGTCGCGCGCGTTCCGATCAGCTGTGTTGTCGCGCGCGTAGTGTAAAATGGGGGGGAGGGGTGTGGGTAGAGCACGCGTACTCAATAGCGGTGTTGTCGCCCCTAATGAAGGGCGGGACGAAGGGTGTGTCGTGTCGCGGGGGCACTTTTGATCATTTTGGAAGGGCACTTTATATCCAAGACTAAAAAGGGCATGTGCACTGCACAGGTTGAGCTCTATGTGTGCACGTGCCTGAGGAAGATAGAACTGTTAGCTGACCAACAACTAGCAGCTAAATGTGTTTGAAAAATATTCAATAGCTTTTATTTTCATAAACAGCGCAGATGTGAATGCGTCCGAGTGTTGTGATTGGCAAGAGTACACGTCTCACGTCAGCACGCTCTAAGCGTGAGTGTGCTCTTTCTGGAAATTTTCAGCATTCCAACGAATTACTGGTAATGTTACATCTTCTCTTTCCGTGAAAATGCCAGAACGAACTTATCGGTATTTTCAAAAAGTGCCTGTTCACACATACCTTTTCTGGAAAGGTCTGTATGTGTGAAAGGGGCTATTGCTCTTTGGATAAGGGATTCTTTAAAGCATGTAAATGAAATAAAGTAAAAGGCAAAATAAGAGAAAAAAAGCTAACTCATAAGTGCTATTTTTAATATAATAGCCATGTTAATAAAGCCTTTTTACCTTTGTTTACTTATTCTTCAAGTGCCATGGACTTATTTTGTTTTGCAAACAGAATACATTGATATGATACATTTTCTATAGCTGATGGTGATATTAAAAAGGTTGCTGGTTTTGAATATAAGGTGTTATAATTAAAGGCACATTATGTAACTTTACTCCACTAGAGGGAGTGTTTTCACAACAAACAAAGGTGTATTTTGATGACGGCATAAGAAGACATGGGAGTTGTGGTCTTCATTACATCCTACGGGACTCCTGCAGGAATCATGTGGATGGATGAGCTAACGTATTCAACACTTATTATCATGATAGCATGAAGCAGAGTAAAGCTGAAAGCAGAAGGGAAATGAAAGAAATGCACAAAAGCAGCGGAGCTTTAATTATGCCATCGTCCAGCGCTTCCTGTTCATAGCTCGTGATCACGAGGAGAAGCAGCAGCTTTGTTTTATAAGACTAAATACTTTTTAGGCTTCTGTTATACAGTAATGCTGCTCTGTGCAGTTTAAAACACACACACACACGCACAATATATTGAAGTCTCTGATGTATTCACAGCCATATTACCGTATCAGCTGGATTCACAGCCATATCACCCAGCAGGCCAAGATTGGTTATTCACTGAAGCCAAGCAGGGCTAAGCCTGGTCAGTACCTGGATGGCAGACCACATTGGAACACTAGGTTGCTGTTGGAAGTAGTGTTAGAGAGGCCAGCAGGAGGCGCTCAACCCGCAGTCTGTGTGAGACCTAATGCCCTAGTAAAGTAAAGGGGACACTATACTGTCAGTGGGCGCCGTCTTTCAGATGAGACTCTCTGCGGTCATTAAAAATCCCATGTCACTTCTCGCAAAGAGTGGGGGTGTAACCCCGATGTCCTTGGCCAAAACCTATAGCTGGTGTGTGGTGAGCGCACTGGCGCCGTTGTCCTGTGGCTGCTGCGCACTGGCGACCCTCTCTCATGATTGTGAAGCCCTTTGGGTGTATGGCTTTTAGGCTTGGGCAGTAATACGGTAATATGGTATACCGCAGGATCTAAAAATAGCAACGGTGTCAGTTCTAATACCGTTATACCCTCATAAAAACAATTCACTTAAGTAGGAGACAAGTATTAAATAATAAATATTATTTATTTAATGCCTACAAATGAGTATGCGTGATTGTCATGACGGGACAGTGTGGAGGAGAGAGAGGTGAGGTAAGATTTTGAATCACGCACCAAGTCACCTGCAGTGTGTGTGTGTGTGTGTGTGTGTGTGTGTGTGTGAATAAGAGAGCATGCTGTCTGTGTGTCGCTTGGTTCTCTCTCTCGATGTGTGTGTGTGTGTGTATGAATGAGAGAAAGAGAGAGGCACACACACACAGCATCCACGTGGATGTGCGCGTGCTTGCTTGCTCGGAAGCGATATTGTAAGACCGCGCAGCCACTCCCGCGCTTTATTCGGAAAGCACACACCCACACCCACACACACACAAACACACACACACACAGAGAGAGTGTGGTGCTGTGCGTCTCTCTCGCGCTTTCTGTGTGTGCCCCACCCAGATCTCTAATACGAACAAGATAAACAGGTGACCGCGAACCTCAGTTTCATTACGTCATATTTTTTTATTATGCACGGTAATACTGGATAAAATAGGGAGGAGGTTTGACGGTACCAAAATTTGTATACCGCCCAAGCCTAATGGCTTTACACAATAAATGCGATATATAAATACAACTAACCTTACCCGTTTTCTAAAAACAAAACAAAACAGAAATCGAGGGTGTGTGACGTTATTAGCATGAACACACAGCACACCCTCTGTCTTACAAGTTAAAATAGCTTATTTCATTGTATTTCAGCAATTTTTAAAACATTTGGGATAATTGAAGTACTTAAGTCAGCAAAATATATAACTGTTCTGTGTTTTTTGGTTAAAAAAACTTACATATTGTGCCTTTAATAACAAGAAATAAAATTGGATAAGCATATTAATTTAACTAATTTCTTCTATGCATTAGTGCAGTGGTTCTCAAACTGTGGTACGTGTACCACTAGTGGTACGCAGGCTTCCTTCTAGTGGTACGTGGAGGAATCGCTAAATAATTAAAGTAAAAAAAAAAAAAAAAAAAAAAAAAAAAAAACCTTTTAACCCTTTAACGTGTACAATTACACTGATGTGATTAGTGAATTGATTTTAATAAGCTAAACCTTTTATTTTATTTAAAATTTTCTAATGTTTGTTATGCATTCTATCATGTGAAGCTAATTTCCTCCCCATATTTGTAATGGATATTGGGGGCGTATCCCATATTTTTATATAATGCTGACAGGTCATTAAGGTGGTACTTGGAGCAACATTTTTTTTCTGAGGTGATACTTGGTGAAAAAAGTTTGAGAACCACTGTGTTAGTGAAATGCATTCTGCTTGAGTATTGCATGTGGATTTGTGAATCAATTTCTCTATTTGTTTTCTTACTGTTTCCTAACAGAAATACATTTAAAAATAGACAAATATTGTCAGCTTAACTGCACAGGCTGATTTATTAATCGCTTTCAATCAATAATATGGTCAATTTTTTCATATCTCACTTCTTTGCTTTTCTTTTTCTTCTTTTTCTTGTCCTTAGTGGAGTGTCTGCTGTCATTATCTGCAAAACAAAACAGACCTATAACTGTGTGTTATGTTGGAACACATTTGTTTTAAAGTGCAAAGTACAAACCATGTTGTAAACAAATATTGTATAAATACTTTCTACTTTTTAAAAAATTCTCAATTAATTTAACGTGCTACTAGATCCCATTAAGCACAAAAAAATGCTGTCCAAACTACAGAGTTCTTACACCTTTTCCAACCTCAAATTCCATTCTCATCTTCAGCGCTTTACAATTTTTTGCGGTAGTAGCTCTCTCTGTCATCCGAAACCAAAAGGCGCTGAGTGATTGACAGCTGACATTAACCAATCATTCGCGTTCAGTGCTAGAGCAGTGGTGGGCCAATAATAAGAGCGTGAAGGCGGGGCAAGCATTACGGACTTGGCTTTGTTTACTGCAGCAAGTTGACATGACAACTGTTTTAAACCATTCCCGAGCGCTGCGTTTCGCATTCCAAGTGCAGACAAAGAGCTTAGAGATACATCCTGCGTGAATGTCTGCCGAATCCGCGCATGTGTGGGAACAATTTGCAAAAAAAACTGGTCGCACACAACAATTTTAAGCACTCGCAGAAATGCTCCCAAATATATTTTAAGGTCGCATAGATAAAATTTTGGGTGCATATGCGACCATAATGGTCGCAATTACGAGCCCTGCTTTGTATTCTGAACCCATCCAAAAAATCATCGTAAATTTCAGATGTTCAATAATCAAGTTAAGAAATTCAAAAATCAAGTTAAGAAACTCAAATTCAAAACAATTTTAATAGCATATAATCAGTTTTATTAACTTACAATTGCTAATAATTCTATTTATCACAATTCAAATTCAGATTGTTTTGGCATATTATTAGCTCCATAAATATGCGCATGCGGTGAACATTTTGCAATGAAAACTGGTCACACGACAACAATTTATGTACTCGCACATACGCTGCCAAATATATTTTGAGGTCACATAGACAAAATTGTGCGCATATGCAACCAAAACAGTCACAATTTCGAGCCCTGCAATTTCAAATTCAAGCAGGTTCGAGCACTTTGTCAAAATATCCAAGCACTTTTTTAACCTTGAAAACACTTTATTAAAAAACAAAGCATTTTCCAGGATTTTCAGCACCCGTAAGAACCCTGAAACTAAAACAATTTTAAAGAACACATGTTTAAAGGTGTGGAAAGATTTATTTGAAAAGTGCATTCATTTATTCATTCTTTTTTTTTTCAGCTTAGTACCTTTATTAATCTGGGGTCGCCACAGCAGAATGAACCACCAACTTATCCAGAACATTTTTCCAGCTGCAAGCCATCACTGGGAAACACTCATACACTCCCATTCACACACATATAAACGGACAATTTAGCATACCCAATTCACCTATAGTGCATGTGTTTGGACTGTGGGAAAAACCGGAGCACTCAGAGGAAACCCACACAAACTCCACACAGAAATGCCAACTGATCCAGCAGAGGACTCGAACCAGCGACCTTCTTACTGTGAGGCAACATCGCTACCAACTGCTCTATGGATAGGCGACACGGTGGCTCAGTGGATAGCACTGTCGCCTCATAGCAAGAAGGTCGCTGGTTGGAGCCCCAGCTGGGCCAGTTGGCATTTCTGTGTGGAGTTTGCATGTTCTCCCCGTTAGTGGGGGTTTCCTCCCTATGTGCTATAGGTGAATTGAATACACTAAATTGGTTGTAGTGTACATGAGAATGAGCATGTGACAGTGTATGGATGTTTCCAAGTGTTGGGTTGCAGCTGGAAGGGCATCCACAGCGTAAAACATGCTGGATAAGTTGGCGGTTCATTCCGCTGCGGTGACCTAAAATTAATAAAGGGACTAAGCTGAAGGAAAATGAATGACTGAATCTATGGATACTCATATTACAGTGAGTGGTACAGTGCAAGTTAAACTGATACCAAGAATAAAAACATTAAAAACATTAATTTTTGCAAACTCTCGCATTATTCTCTGTATGTCTCCATTAAAATCAATGCAACTGCAGAATTCACCTGCATATAGTAATCCCATATAAAGTGTTAATTAAACTGACGCTTAAATTAACAGTTAAAAACTAGGACAGATTTCATTAAGTGATTCAATCATTTTAATCATTACTTATCCTACATCTATTAACATGAGGATGTGAATTCTCTTTATTTAGGTAATCAGTCGATGTTTAACTCAACATTACCTTCCTGATCTTCACTGCTTTCTTTAGTTTTAGGTGTCGCCTCTTCAAACCCCAAGCCGAACAGGTCAATGTCACTATTAAGGGTCTGAAATGACGGCGCAACAGGTTTGGGAAGCTCTGGGAGTCCAGCTAACACAAAACCATCATCCGAGCGGTCAGAAAAGTCATCTCGAGCAGAAAAAGCCCCCTATGGACAATAGAAAACAATGGCAAAATCAGCAATTTTTTTTTGCCTGAGCTTTAAATCTAGAGTTTTCATGCATTAAATATGAATACAGGGTATTATTGTACACTATATATTTACACATGAAACATTTTTGACTAATAAAAGCTCTTTTCAAACACACAAAAGTACGATAGAATATGATATATACAACATAATACAATATAACACAATAAAATAACACTTCACTGATAAATTAGAAATAAGAAATAACATGTGAATGCGTGAATATAGAGACTGGATATGATAAAAACATGATTTGTGATACATTTAAGTGCAATTCAGTTAGGGTTATTACTGTTAACAGTCTGTTTATTTTAACGCAATTTCAGCATCAATGGCAAAAGACCAAAATTTTCATGGCAAAAAAATACATAAATAAATAATAATATTTTTCAAGACACTTCTATACAGCTTAAAGTGACATTTAAAGGCTTAACTGGGTTAATTAGGTTAAGGCACTTTAGAGTAATTAGGCAAGTTATTGTATAAAGATGATTTGTTCTGTAGACTATTAAAAAAATGCTTAAAGGGTCTAATAATTTTGTCCTTAAAATGGTTCATAAAAAATTAAAAACTGCTTTTATTCTAGCCGAAATAAAACAAATAAGACTTTCACCAGAAGAAAAAATATTATCAGACATACTGTGAACATTTCCTTGCTCTGTTAAACATAATTTAGGAAATAGAAAAAAAATGCTAATAATTCTGACTTCAAGTATATATATATATATATATATATATATATATATATATATATATATATATATGTATGTATATGTATGGTATGTATGTGTATGTATATATATATATATATATATAATTGCTTTTTCGTTCATATTTAAATAATGAACTTGCATGATGAGCATATAGGCGAAATTATTCATTTATTTATTTGACTCATATCTTCCTCCTGCGTCGACCTGAACTGGGTGCTTGCCAGTGCGCAATCAAGCACATCAAGGCAGACTGATGCAGAGGCAGTTGTCAATAAATTCTGTGTCTTTGCCTCGGAAAGTCGACTTTTCGTGACCAAAGACCAGATTTACTAGCGCCACTTAAGCCAGCGTTTTGTAGTTAGGAAACATTTCTCCTAAGGCTGTGATCAGAACTAAGTTTGCTGGATTCTCTGAATGTGGGATTACCCGATCCTGCAAGCACTCGTTTCACCGGGGAAAAATACTACAGCACGCACTCCTTCTGCACCCCTCCGCGTTCGGTAGTGCCTATATTTTACAGTCTACTGGTAGTGCTCACAACGCACTCCAAAGCACCTGACCTCCTTGCTGCTGCTTGGTTGGCTTGAACAGCTGTCGGCGACTGAGGATTCCTTTCTGTTTGTTCTTCATCGTCCACTGCATCACTTCCTATTTTTTCACCTTTATATTTAATATCACAACTATTTGGCCATTTAAAGAAACTTCTCACACTCAGCAGCTGTGACATTTTTGCAACTGTACGCAGCGGTGACAAAGAGGAGACAAAACAAGGACAATCGCCATCAGCTGGACAAGAGTGGGAATTACAATTAGCTACAAATTACAATAAATCACCCTCAGCATAATCCGTCAAAATGACGGATCACCTTCAGATTTTTCCATCACTGCTGAAAAAAAATCTGTCAATGACGTTATTTTTTTCAGGATTTGGTATCAATCGATACTGAAGTTTTAAAAACGTCACTTACCCGCTGACATGTTCACGTGCTGAACGGAAATGACTGTGATTCGCTATGAAGTTCATCAGTTCACTAAACTCACTGCTGTTTACTGAATGTAACCACAGATACAGGGACACTGGAGTGTTTCAAAGTCCTGTCGATCAGCTGGTTTGTCTTTAAGCTGACATACTGTCGGAGCGATCCGCTGATGAATCGCGGGTTAAAAACACTCCAGTGTCCCTGTATCTGTGGTTACACTCAGTAAACAGCGGTGAGTTTACTAATGACCTTCACGGCCAGTCACAGTCACTTCTGTTGAGTACTTGAGCACAATGACAAACCAGCGCTGTTTAAGAACGGGCTCAGTAGTGCTCAAATGTCAGCGGGAAATGGACGTTTTTAAAACTTCAGCATCGATTAGTACCGAATTCTAGTCTCCTGCAGCCCTATTTTGTAATGGACAGTTCAGTGGAAGCCATTGGGCTGGCTGAATGAAGATTAAAAGGCTGTGTGCATTTACTACATTGAAATTAAAGATTTATTAAGAGAAAATTAAGAGTGTAGAAATGGACTCTACCTTCTTGACTTTGGGAATATCAATCTCTTCGCTCTCAAAATCCGGGTCGTCCATGACAAATGAAAGCATCTGCTGAGCGACTGGAGCCTCTCGGTCTGAATCGGAGTCTGCCTCAACAGTGCCTCCTGTCTTCAGGCTGGCTCTCTGCACTGCAGATCCCGCTGTGGTCTTCAGGCTTTGGGGCCTTTCAGCTGCCTTTGACTTTGTTTGCAGCTGTTTGACAGAGTTCAGTGAAGATCTGGGAAATAAATGTGAGAATTCAGATCAAATATCTTTAATCAACTGTATGTATCGAATATTAAACTAACTTTGACTTGTCGTAGTATTTATATACTTCTTCTTTTTGATGGCTTGAAGAGCTTCTGTAATCTTCACTTGTAAACTGCCTTTTAAAACAAGTTATCTGGTAAATTAATGAATGCAAATATGAGGTGTGTTCGATGAAAATCCCATCCTGAAGTTATCATTTATTAAATATGAGACCTATCTACTGTGTGTCCACTCATCTATCCATCCATCCATCCATCCATATATCTAGTAGATTCATCCATCCACCAATCCATCCATAGATACTAGGGATGTAACAATATTGTAAATACCGTCATACCGCAATAGCAATTTCTTTCAATATTACCGTGGTTGTGACTCAATAAAATCATAGGTCTTTTGGTGAAAAGTTTGCTTAGGCGAATGGAGCGAATGGGAGGTAGCTGAAACTACAATTTTCATCAGCCAAGGCGTGGCCATTATCCTTTGCGGTCTGTTGTCGCTACAGATCCAGTAATGCAGAAATGGAGGGCGCTGCTAATAGCGGCAAAAGAAAAGAGCTAAAAATGGTCGAACCTAAAGCGGGTTTTAAATCAGATGTGTGGAAGCATTCCAGTTTCTCTCTGAAAAGAAACAAGAAAGAAGAAAAGGTGACAGAAAAAAAGGGTTTGCAGGCACTGCCAGACTGTGCTGAAATACAAGTCGGGGAATACGACTAACATGATGGGGATTCTTTTAGTCAAGGGGACAGCAGAACACAGCACACTGCTCAGATTGATGGAGACATTGACTTGTACCACCAAGAGACCTCTATCTCACTCATGGCTTGTCGTTTCGAGTGGTGTTTTTTTTTTACATGGTTTAATATTTTTTGTTATTAAAATTTAATAATTTAAGTTCCTGTTTGAAAGTTTACAGATAGATGGCTAATTTGTATGTCATTGATCTGTTCAGTGTTGAGGTAACCTGAACATTCTAGCACTTTTTTTGAGTCTCTTCAATAGTTTTGTTTTTCCTGTAAATGATTCAATAAATACCGTACCGTGCCATTCATACTGAGGTATTACCGTATCGTGAAATTTTGATACCGTTACATCCCTATTAGATACATTCATCCATCCATTTATAAATCTATTAGTCCATCCATCCATCAAATCAATCCATCCCTCCATCCATTTATAAATCCATCTTTCAATTCATCCATCCGTCAATCTATTTATCCATCCATTTATCTAAATATCTATCCATCCATCCATCTATCCATAGATACAATTATACAACCATCCCTTCATCCATCCATCCATCCATTGATAAATGCATCCATCCATCAATCAATCCATCAAATCAATCAATGCATCCATCTACAGACACAAACATCCATCTATATATTTTTAAATCCATCTATCAATCCATCCATCCATATATACTTTCATCCATCTACAGATACATCCATCCATTTATAAATTCTTCTATCAATTCATCCATCCATAGAAACATCCATCCCTCAATCAATCCATTTAGAAATTCATCTATTAATCCATCCATCCATAAATACATCCATCCCTCCATCCATTTATAAATTATAAATGTAAAGTTAAAGTTTATCCATCCATAGATACATTCATCCATTAATTCATAAATCCATCTATCAATCCATCCATCCATAAATACATTTAGCCATTCATAGATACATCCATCCATTTATAAATCCATGTATTTATAAATCCAATTATCCATGGACACATCCATCGATCCATCCATCCCTCCATCCATAAATCTATCTATCAATCCATCCATCCATAGTTACATTTGTCCATACATAGATAAATCCATCCAACCAACCATCCATCCATCTATTTGTAAATACATCCATCAACCCATCCATCCAAAAATATTAATCTGTCTGTCCCTCCATCCATTTATAAATCCATCTATCAATCAATCAATCCATCTATCCATCCATCCCCCCATCCATTTATAAATCCATCCATCAATCAATCCATCTATCCATCCATTCCCCCATCCATTTATAAATCCATCCATCAATCAATTTATCCATCCAACCAACTCTCCATCCATTTATAAATACATCTATTAACCCATCCATCCATAGATACATTCATTAATCCATAGATACATTCACCCGTCCATTTCTCAATCCATCCATAGATATATTCATCCATCCATAGATACATTTATAGATACATCTATAGATACATCAATCCGTGCATATCTCTATCCACTTATAAATACATCTATCAATCCATCTATCCATAGATACACTCATCCATCCGTCCATCCCTCCATTCATTTATAAATCCATCTATCCATCCGTCCATAGATACATTCATTCATCCACCCCTCCATCCATTTATAAATCCATGTATCAATCCATCCATCCATCAAAATAATTTACGCTAAGGTAAAATGATTTAAAAAGTACAATAATATAAAGAAATGAAAATAGATTATGCCTTCATTAAGAGTGGATATAATTAAAGTAATTGAAGAAGTCTCTCAGCTAATGGAATAATTTCTATTTTGAAAGCTCGTCAACAGGGAGGGAAATTAATTAAATCCATCCATCAAATCTTCCGGAAATTCTGGTCAGGTCTCAGCATGTCTGCCTCTCTCAGAAGTTTCTCTATTAAAAGTAAGATGAGCAATTCCATGCAAATGTCAACCGTGCAGTGAAAAAATAAATTAGGTTTTAACCAAAATAGTGAAACCCTTTCAATGTTTTTTGTGTAGGCTTGTGTTTTAGAGTAGTGTAAAAATACTCAATGTCTCTGGCAATGTTTTCAAACAATTATATATCTGATTTATCAAAGTCACACAAGTGCCAATTTCACATCTGACACATCCATAATGAAGAGATATCACATCCATAACAAAGCTTTTTTTACCTCATAAATGCAAGAAATGTAAAATAAATTAAAATCCAAAATAATAATAAATTAAAAAGACAAATCTTGTCTTTTCTGTGAGCATTGTTTCTTTTAGGTTGTGCAGTTTAATTGACAGAGTATGGTGTATACTGTAAACTATAAAGAATACAAACAGATGTTTCATTATAATGTTAACACTGTCTGTGAATTAATGTTTTAAAGGGCCATGAAACCCCCCTGTCTCAGCAGTCTGTTTTCACACCTCTAGTTTGAAAAAAGTCAGGAAAGTGGATGTGTCCAACTCTGTTTAGGTTGGAGTGTCGGGGGAGGGAAAGAGGGAAGGGTTTGCATGAAAATGGGAGTTATTGGTTCGAGCATGCGCTGATTTTCACAAAGGCAAAACAAACACACAGGGCTCTATCTTGACGATCCATGCACAGGGCGCAAACGCTTTAAGGGCGAGTCAGAATCCACTTTTGCAAATATAAGGACGGGAAAATCCGCTTTGCGCAGTGGCGCATGGTCTAAAAGGGTTGAGTTTATTTTCCTAATGAGTTATAGGTGTGTTTTGAAAATAAACAAATCAGAGTCTCATCTCCCATTCCCTTTAAGAGTCAGCTGCGTTGCGCCATAAGCGCATTTGCTATTTACATGACGTAAAGTAAGTGTAGGTGGAAAAACTGAGCATTTCACAAGCAAGAAAACAGTTAAACAGAGCATCTACAGCGTGAGAATGAGAGATAAGGCATCTCAATCTAGTTTCACTTTCGCTCTCGTGGATAGGGAAACATTGTACGCACAGACATCAATTAGCCTATAAATAATTAATTTTGTTTGTTAAGCGCAAAGATTTGTTTTAAAACTATTTCTAAATTCAGTTCTAATTTCCAGCAAGCGAATAAATGAACAATAATAATGAAGTGTGCTCAAAAACCTGAGTTATATCCTAAAACACATACTGTGCCTCATATAGTCTAAAACCTGCAGGTGGGCAAATCTAAGCTTGTTTTTAATAAAACAAATATAAATAACGATATAATAAATAATACTGCTAATAATAATAACATTATACAAAAGCAAATTGAATGAACTGAAAAAGCCTCCCGAGATGAAGAAAGGCAGTGGTTTTTATATTCATGTAGGCTAGAAAATAATAGGTTTTGTAATATTTTAATCCTTTATATTTATATCCTATATATATCCTTAATATTTTAATTCTTTTTCATATGCAAAGATATTTGTGTATTGCTCTACATCTTGTGTGTATCAAACAGTGTGTAAGCGAGGCGCACTCTGCGCCAGACAATAGACTGGCTTTGTTCTGGTCTAAAGAACAAACTATTATAGTTTCTCAAAATAGCAACGCGCCAAAACACGCCTGCTTTTTTAGTCCAGAACGCCTATGGGTTCACAAATGAGTGCAAATGCATTTGCTATTTAAACAGCATGGCGCAACACCTCAAAACGACTCTTGCGCCAAGCTGAAAGTAGGAAATAACAATTGCATCGCGCCTTGCGCCACATTGCGCCAGCTGTATGATAGGGCACATAGACACAGGGGAGAAAGACGGTGACTGTGTTTACATAAATATCAGTAATCAAACTATTTGCCAAATTATTAATTTGTCGACTTTAACTGCAGTTTGGCACTTTCACTTTCATTTAGGAACATTTAATGCATGCCCCCCAATACAAGTGAGATATTGGATGTGAGGAACTGCTGGAGAGTGTAGTTTTAATGGAATGTTTAATTCCGCACGGCAAATGGAAAAAGAAAAAAAACCTTCCGCATTTCTCGCTAACTTAGATGCACTCGGTAGGTAGCGCCAGAAAGCTGTGTGTGTATTGACTATCCTGTCACAAAATGCAGTGAAAATCCCACACGACTGTAATAGATTGATTGCGGTGTTTACATGTTTACACTCTGGGAGACGCATTTACAGCGGATCTTTCAGTCCATAATATTGTAGTGATATTAGCGTACTGTAAACTTAGTACCTAAATCATTTTGACTAAAGTCTGTCTTTAAACACTGAAAGAGTACTGCTGACAATACCAACTAACTTTGCCATCTGAATAAACAAACAAAAAACACTGATCACACACTTACCAAATCTGTAAAGACAGGACAATCAACACCAACTCGAGCTGCGTCTTTTTTAAAAGGAGACAAGCAGCAAATCGGGATTGCACCATTTCCCAATGAGAAAAGCTCTCGGGTAAAGAATGTTTCTTACAAACGTATTTCTGCCATGTGCACTGTAATCCACACATGAGTAGCTGTGTGGGGAAATGAAAACAAAACCTTCGTTGCTGCACATTTATAAACACTAAACTGACAACCTGCGTCTCCGAATAATTCTTCTTCTCTCACTTGTTTTGGCAAAACAACGTGGCATCCCTCCGCCGTCGGAACACTGTAACAGGTAAAACAGTTTTCGAAGCTATCATGAATATTACAGTTTTTCTCAATCGCTTAGGTGCGTTTCTCACAACAGTAGTGCATTTCTGCACAACAGTTAATGCATTTCTCAAAACAATTAGTACAAACTGCAAAACCTAGCTGATAACTTGGAAAATGCAAAAAAGTCAGATGTTGGTGACACTTCCTGAAAATGCTCAAGACAGCACTATATACTACTTGCACAGTCATTTAAAAAAAAAAAAACAGTAAAGTTAGACATTACTGCATTTAGTGAGGCATCTGAGTACAAGACACTGAATATGTATGTTTCACATGTTTACTGCACTTGCTCTTTACAATTATAATTTATTCACAGCATTGTACAAAAGAATAAACACACCCTTATTTATAACAAACACAAACTTCCTTTGGGTAGAGCTGTGCACAACTGTAAACAATATTGCAGTACATATTGGAACTGAACCTACGACACACACAGGTCTGCAAATCTTTCATGAAATTGTTCAATTTAGAAGAGATTTTCAGTAAAATAAAGATTAAATTTTTTTTATCAAATTTGCTTGACAGATTTCGACAACTAGTTCAACATTTTTGTATATAATGACTTTGGATATAATGAGTTTTATATGGAGTGACCATTCAGCATTCACAAGTTTAGTTATTTTGACTGACTGACTGACATAAGCAGATGATCATGTTATAAACAGCAGAGAGTTGTATGAAAGCCATGGATGCACGTCCAAAAGCATTTGCAATTTGTTGGAAGAAATGAGAAACTGCTACTGTGATGTGCACAAACGACTAATTGTTTTGAGAAATGCATTTACTGTTGTGCAAATGTAAACAGTGTTGTGAGAAATGCACCAAAGCCACTGAGAAAAAGTGTACTGAAGTTGCACCCCATTCACAATAGAGAGCGCTGATTGGTTTGAACCAAGTCTTTCTCATGAATTAATGCTGCACACTCAAACGCGTCACATTGTACATGCCGTTACAGACATCCACTCTCCACACTGGAATACACACAAGTAGACAAGTATCTAATCTCCGTGACGCATCTTTAAAAATTAGTTTAAAACCGGAAGAACGAATTTGCTCGAAATAATACAAGAACAACCAATTTTCACTTTTTTGTGAGATATTTGTGTCCTAATAATGTTTATAGCAGCGTAGGACACAAATATGACTGTCAACAGCTCAAATAATGTGTTTTGGTGTTTCGTGACTCTTAAAGTTTTCACTGCAAACGTCACATCCATAACACTGGAATTGCTAAGATGCTTTTATTTTTTTTATGTTACCCCTTTGTGTTTGGTCCTGAGCTGCTGATGGCTTTTTGCTGGTGAACAGGTGAATCTTCCGCTTCTTCATCACTGGTCAGTGTGATGTCTTTGCTCGGCACCACTGCTTTAACTGCAGGCTGACTCGGCACTCTGTCATCTGGATCTAAATCATCCTGGAAGCCGGAGACCAGAGGATTTCCCCGTCCCTCTCCATCACTGAGGAAAACACAGGAAAACTGCATGAGTTTAATGCGGGACCAAAATTAGACCCGTTTCACTTCTTAGGGCTCTATTTTGATGGTTCATGCACAAAGTGCAAAGCGCAAACGCTTTCAGGGTGTGTCAGAATCCACTTTTGCTAAAATAAAGATGGAAAAAGCCTCTTTGCACCGTGGCGCATGGTCTAACAGGGTTGAGCTTATTCTCTTATTGAGTTATAGGTGTGTTTTGGGAATAAGCCAATCAGAGTCTCATCCCCCATTCCCTTTAAGAGCCAGTTGCACCGTGCCAAAGCGCATTTGCATTTGCTATTTACATGACGGACTTCGTAAGTGGAAAATCTGAGCATTTCACTTACAAGAAAACAGTTAAACAGAGCATCTGCAGCGCGAAAATGAGAGATAAGTCTCCTTATTATCTACTTTCACTTTCGCTCTCATGGATAGGGAAACCTTGTACGCACAGACATCAATTAGCCTATAAATAATTAATTGTTTGTTAAGCGCAAAAATTTGTTTTAAAACTGTTTTTAAATTCAGTTCTAATTTCCAGCAAGCGAATAAATGAACAATAATAACAAAGTGTGCTCAAAAACCTGAGCTATGTCCTAATACACATGCTGTGCCCCATATGGTCTAAAACCTGACAGGTGGACAAATCTAAGCTTGTTTTTAATAAAACAAATATAAATATGAATATAATAAATAATACTGCTAATAATAATAACATTATACTAAAGCAATTTGTCATGAATGAACTGAAAAAGCCTCCCAAGATGAAGAAGGCATGAAAGTTTGGTTATTATATTTATGTAGGCTAGAAAATAATCTGTAATATTTTAATCCTTTATATTTATGTCCTATATATATCCTTAATATTTTTGTTCTTTTTCATTTGTAAAGATATTTGTGTATTGCTGTACATCTTGTGTGTATTAAGCAGTGTGTAAGCGTGGCGCACAACTAACGCGCTCTGCGCTGGACTCGACCTGCTTTGTTCTGGTCTATTGAAAAATCTATTTTAGTTCCTCAAAATAGCAACGTGCCAGCAATGAGCTTCAACACGCCTCCCTTTTTAGACCAGAACGCCTATGGGCGCACATATGAGCACAAATACTATTTAGCTATTTAAACACCGTGGTGCAAAACGTCAAATTGACTCTTGCGCCAAGCTGAAACTAGCAAACAACAATTGCGTCGCACCTTGCGCCACATAGTGCCACGTGTATGATAGGGCCCTTAAAGTCTGCAAGAAGCGAAAGTTACTGAGACTCCTGCTATTTTAAATGAATATTTTTGTTTGCATTCATTTTTATAGTTTGCATCATCGTTTCATACCCCCTATAACTTTGAACTGGAATTTACAAATAGAAAAAAACATTTCTAATTATGTGCAATATGTTTATCAGTGTTTCTGCATGTTTCACCAAGTTCAATTATAAGACTAACAAGACTTTTTAACACCATTATAAATTAAACTTTAGACTTAAGAATTTTTTTAATGGCCTGGATGAAAAAGATTACTATTTGCGCAATCAAAAAAAAATTAATACATTTTATTATACAATAATAAATTAATAATATTTTTTTTTTATATTTCTTAGCAAAATATTTAAAGTGTGTAAAAACAAGAAAGCTCTACTTGTATCCATACCCTTTATTCCAACATAAAAAGATTTTTAAAATAAAAAATAATGAACAAATGTTTAAAAGTTTAAAAAACTTATGCACACAATCTGACCAGGTCAGTGTACACAGCAGTAAATACATGGAGCACTTTTAAACAAATTTTATTATAAGGAAAATAATTAAACCATTATGATAAATAGAGAGTGGGTTAGTGTGGGTTTCCTCCGGTTGCTCTGGTTTCTCCCACAAATCCAAAGACATGCGGTACAGGTGAATTGGGTTAGCTAAAATTGTTCATAGTGTATGTGTGTAAAAGTGTATGGGTGTTTCACAATGATGGGTTGCAGCTGGAAGGGCATCCACTGCATAAAACATGTTCTGGATAAGTCGGCAGTTCATTTCCCTGTGGCAACCCCAGATTAATAAAGGGACTATGCCAAAAAAAATGAATAAATGAATGATAAATAGAGTTAAAATGACCTTTTTAAATAAAAGTTTTATTGAGATGATTGTTGGTGATTGTATGGGTTTTGGCCAGATTGGGTAGCAATACATGAGCAAAGGAAAATTAGGACCCGTTTAAAAAATATTTAAGAACTACAACACAATATCTCAGTAAACATAAGACTTTTATTGCCTAAAATTGAGATGTTGGGATTACAGACATTTTAAGACTTTTTAAACCCTGCGGAAACCCATTTTATATTCTGCTTAAAGCGGACATATTAAGCCACTTTTTTTACAAAGTGTAAAATAAATGTCTCTGATGTCCCTAGAGCGTGTGTGAAGTATCATCTCAAAATACCTCATAATTAATGTTTTCTAACTCTTTGAAACTGACCCTTTTAGGCTTTTATCCCAATTGTGGCATTTTGGTGACTGTCGCTTTAAATTCAAATGAGATTGTGCGCTTTTCAGAAAAGGGCGGAGCTACAAATGCCAGTGTGTCAGCATAGTGGCAGATTCAAAAAAAGACTAACCTCTTATGCTAATGAGGGAGTGATAATCACAAATGGGCGGGGATTTCCCCTCTGATGACCCGAACAAAGGGAGAATGTCAATCAAAGTGTTTCTGCAGACTGTTTTTATCAAGTGTGATTGTAACAAATACAATTAATTAATGATTACCATTAAGCAGGTCGCAAACTAGAAGCGTCGCAACACGGCACGCACATGACAGTGTAAAGTATCACACACCAGACGTGCACATTCGCATGAAATTTAACATAAAACTAATCAGATGGCGCTCTGTGCTGCGGCTGTGTACTGAGTCATGGCTGAGCGCCGGCGACTTGCGGCGCCGGTGTGTACCCTGATAGAAACCAATGTTTAGAAATCTAAAATGCATGACGCTGCATGGCGCTACGTGGCTCATCACTGAGCGGCGCTTCTGGTGTGCGACCTGCTTTAGACGCTGGTTATATTCACACACTACTGACATACAACTGTGTATAAACCTCTTATAAAAGTGATTTTTGCATAATAGGTGCCTTTTAAATGCTGATTGGATGAGTTTTTTTTTTTTTTTTTTAAACAATCTATTAGTTATTAAAGCTCACCTGTCACTGTCCAGGATGGGAGCTGAGGCTGGAGGTTTGTTCTTTGATTTAGCCGCTGCTGCTGCTGCTGCTCCACCGTCATCCAGAAAGGTTCGGTCCAATCCCACCTCCGGCACAAATTCATCCACACTCTGCACCTTTCCAGAGGCCTTTACGCTTTCAGAGCCTGTAGACTCTGATGAAGACAAGCCCACAAGAGGTTTTAATATCAGGAAATTCAGTGTGCTACTGCAAGTTTCAGGTTAATGTTTGTGTTTCTGGCATCACGGTGGCTCAGTGGGTAGCACAGCATGAAGATCGATGATTCGAGCCCTAGCTGGGCCAGATGGCATTTCTGTGTGGAGTTTGAGTCAGTTTGAGTCTCCCCATGTTGATGTGGGTTTCCTCCGGGTGCTCGGGTTTCCCCCAAAGTCCAAACACATGTGATATAGGTGGATTAAATAAACTAAACTGGCCGCAGTGTATGAGAGCATGTGTAAGAGTGTATGGGTGTTTCCCAGTTTAGGGTTGCGGCTGGAAGGGCATCCACTGCGTAAAACATGTGCTGGATAAAATGGCAGTTCATTCCACTGTGGCGACCCCAGATTAATAAAGGGACTAAGCCAAAAAGAAAATTAATGAACGAACGTTTGTGTTTCTACAAAATGCATGTCGACTAGTATCTTATCACAAATTATACTATACACACATGTATTTACCATATTAAACCCTAAAACATATACCATAACTACCCCTATATATATATATATATATATATATATATATATATATATATATATATATATATATATATAATTTTATTATAATTGTTATAATTAGAAATTATATATATATATCCACACACTACCGTTTGAGGGCACTTTTTTAATTAATTTTTGTATTCTAAAAATATTTATTAATTAAAAATTTTAATAACTGCTTTTTTTTAACTGTATTTAGTTTCAAATGAAATTATTACTCCAGTCATTATTGCTTTTATTACTATTACTATTACCATTATTAAAAATAATAATAAATACAAGTTTTCGTCTTTTAAATGCAATTAATTGCAAAAAAGTGATTCATTAGTTTCTTTTTTAATTGATTGACAGCACTAATACACATACACACACACACATTTCTAAAACATATCTCGCAACATATTTGTCAGCCCCTTTCAGACACTATCTAATTACTATTTTGATATATATGTATATATATATATATATATATATATATATATATATATATATATATATATATATATATATATATATATATATATATATATATATATATATATATATATATATATATATATATATATATATATATATATATATATATAATTTTATTATAATTGTTATAATTAGAAATTATATATATATATCCACACACTACCGTTTGAGGGCACTTTTTTAATTAATTTTTGTATTCTAAAAATATTTATTAATTAAAAATTTTAATAACTGCTTTTTTTTAACTGTATTTAGTTTCAAATGAAATTATTACTCCAGTCATTATTGCTTTTATTACTATTACTATTACCATTATTAAAAATAATAATAAATACAAGTTTTCGTCTTTTAAATGCAATTAATTGCAAAAAAGTGATTCATTAGTTTCTTTTTTAATTGATTGACAGCACTAATACACATACACACACACACATTTCTAAAACATATCTCGCAACATATTTGTCAGCCCCTTTCAGACACTATCTAATTACTATTTTGATATATATGTATATATATATATATATATATATATATATATATATACATAGAGAGAGAGAGAGAGAGAGAGAGAGAGAGATATCAAAATAGTAATTTAAAAGGGAGATCTGGGAGGGGTGTGTCTGAAAGGGGCTGACAAATATGCACACACACACGCACGCACGCACGCACGCACGCACACACACACACACACACACACACATTAAATATAATATATTTGTGCATATACATTAGATAAGTCAGTACTAAATCAAAGAGTAAATAATCTTACAAAAGTCTAAAAAAAAGGATAAAAGAATACACCAAACTATTATGCTTATTTAAAAAAAAAAAAAAAAACAGAACAACTCAAGAGAAAAGTAAAAAAAAACCATTTGGGCCCTATTTGTGGGGCCCTAATGCCCCAGTATAGTGAAAGGACTCTATACTGCTCAGTGAGCGCCATCTTTCAGATGGGACGTTAAACCGAGCTTCTGGCTCTCTGTGGTCATTTAAAGAATGTCTTCAGGATGTCCTTCAAAAAGAGTAGGGGTTTAACATCGGCATCCTGACCAAATTTGCCCACTGTGCATCATGTCCTCCTAACCATCCCCATATCATAATCGGCTTCTTCACTCTGTCTGCTCTCCACCAATAACCAGGTAGATGCTGCACACTGTTGGTGGATGAGGAAATTCCCCCCAAAAATGCATAAAGCGCTAAAAAGCGCTATAGAAATGTTAGGTATTATTATAAATATTATTCTTGAAGAAGTTAGGTGACCAAACACTTATTTTAACAGATGAAACTATTTAATAAAAGAGTTTCGTTTAAATGCACAAAAATGATGGGCTATATTCACTGAGAAATGCAGAAAACTATTAATTTCCAAAACAGGTGAACTCATTTATGCTGAGCACTGCACATATCTTAGACATTCGTCAAATAGCATCCAGCATTTCACAGAACAAAAGACCAAATTAGTGCAATTAAAAAACAACAAATAAAGCAATAATATTTAAAATATGAGCCGAAATGGTGTGTGTGTTTTGACAGGATGATCCCCATCCCCCAGGATCTGCAATGCAGCAGCAGCAGATGCACTGGTGCAGAGCTGCGCGTGTGTTTGTCAGTCCACTGCTCTCCATAATGACTGTGCAGCGGCAGGTCCAGCGTTGCCTGAGAACGTCTCATTGGCATTCAGTATATAATACACCGATGAATGTAGTCCCTGGACGACTGCCCCTCTTTACTACAGTTCATACATTCACTTTAGCAAACCTACAAACACACTCAGATCTCAGTACACACTAGGGAAACTACAAGCTGTGAGGAGTTTGTATCATTATGAGGTATATGGTATGTTAATAGACACTTAAAACAAGACATTTAACTGATCTTATAAAGATTGATGGCCTTTAAGGTAACACTTTACTTGAAGGAGTGCTCATGAATGTGATTGAGATGTTATGTATGCTTATGACAACTGTTATTAAGTGTCATTTGTTCAGTTATATCATGTTAAATGCAAAATTGACAGTTTTTTTTATGACAACTTGACAAACCAATACATCACAACCAGTCTTCATCTTTGTCATGACAACTTGACATTACCAACACAACTGGTCATAAATTTGTTATAAACATGATTGTCAAGAGCAGGGGCGGACTGGACATCTGGCAATTCTGGCAAATGCCAGAAGGGCCGGACCATTTTTAAAATGTGGGCCGGTATGCTATTTTTTAAATGACGTTTTTTTTTATTTTTTTATATGTATTGTTTTTACATGCAGGCAGCTTTCATCTCTTGCAAGATGTGAATATTATGATGATGATGATGATGATGATAGTAATAATAATAATAATAATAATAAATGTTAGGTATTGGCCCAATCGGAAATGGCCGACTGGTTTCGAGATGGGCCGACCCAATCAGAGGATACATTGACGTAATCAAAATCTGGCAAGAATGTCAAACAAACAGTAAGTGCAACACAAGCTAATAGTTAGAGATGGACCGTTAAAAAAAAGAAAAGGCGGTGCCGAAAAGCCCAGAGAAAGCCAAAAATTGCTCTAAAATCAGACGCTGCCAAATGCATAACATTAACTGAAATACTCTCAAAAGGACACTGTCAACAGCACGAAGGTCAATGGTTTGAACCTCGGCTGGGTCAGTTGGTGTTTCTGTGTGGAGTTTGCATGTTCGCATGGGTTTCCTCCCGGTTTCCCTCACAAGTCCAAACACATGTGCTATAGGTGAATTGGGTAGGCCTAATTGTCCGTAGTGCATGTATGTGAATGTGTGTGTATAGGGGTTTCTCAATGATGGGTTGCAGCTTGAAGGACATCCGCTGCGTAAAATATGGTACTGCTTACATTATTTCACCTTCTGTACACCAATATAAGTAGTGAATGTGCGTGTCCGTGGATGGGGCTGTGTCGGTGTGGTAATGTGGGCTGGTGTGGCTACAGTGCCAGGGCTGATTTTTAGTCCCAGTCTGCCCCTGGTCATGAGGCCGTTAGAATTGTGTCATATATTTTCAATATTTTTCTGATCATGTTTCCAGTGGAACAAACTGTATTATGGCTCGTTTTCAGTGACTGGTACAGTGTGGTATGGTACAGGTCACCTTTATCAGGCTTGCGTTTCTACTGCTAAAAGGGAACCAATAGTACTCTTTTGGTGGGCGTGATGTACGGCAGAAAGTTTCAGTCGACGTAATTTTCGCTCGAGAAAAGTATGAAATGCCCTACTGTAATGTCTGCAATTATATAACAAAAATAAATAAATGCAACATATATGAACACATACAGACCCTTACAGTATCCGATATGTTAACAATTACAGAAACACTCCACACAGCAGACATTTAGTCCTTTTAGCATCATTTTTAGTCCATTTAGCATCACGTGTAACCTCTTGTTAGAGAGTAATTCCATCATTCAGAGTTCATAATAGTTCAAAAGACAATGATAATAGTTAAACATGGCAGTTTGTTCATGTTTGCTGAAGAAATAACATGCTCCTTTTTTTCAGGCTTTTTCTTTGTATTTTCGTGCTTCACTTTCGCGTTGGTCATTTTCTGACAGGATCATATTTCAAAAGCACGTCAATAATCATGCACACATTATCATCATGAGCTCAAGAAGTTTGTTATTTCAGATATAGACACGCGGCGAGCGCAAGCAAGAAAGCGAAACCACTCGCGCTTCAGACTGGCTCATAAAAAAACCACGGGGCACAGGGTAAAATCTGCTCTTCTTCGTGGCTTTGTGGCTGTTCATCAAGACGAGACAAGGTTTGTTTGTGCCCGGGTCGACCATTGCTTGTTAATATATGTATATACAATTACGCTGTAATCTCTCGGCTGTGTATTTAAAACATGGCGGTTCCTTTGTTTTCATTCTGGCTTGTTGCATGACCGACTGACGCATCTCTGTAAACCTTTTGACACCCTTTCTCGTGTTTGGTACAATTTCTAAAGGGTGCCGAAAAAGTGGTACGGTACGGTACGTTACGGTGAACCTTTTGACAGTGGAAATGGCCACAAAAGTGTACCAAACTATACCACTCAGCAGAAACAGGCCATTAGTCATTTATATGTCTCACTAAAAGAGTCATTATTCTCAACATTTGTATATTCTGTGACATTTTAATGACAAATTCACCTTGTAACACTGTAGTTGAGGTAAAAAAAGAATAATGATGGCGCTGTTATAAAATGTGTGACATATTCATAATGGCTTCATGTCAATCATGTTTGATTATGGTAATGTCAAGTTGTCATGACAAAGACAAAAACAGGTTGTGATGTATTTGTTTATGTCAAGTTGTCATAAGAAACAATCTCATCTTTGCATTTTACAGATGAGGATGAGTATCCGTTCCTTGTCATTGTGATCAGCCGATACCGGGTACCGATTCTGATGCTTTAAGCTTTATAATGCATAAAGAACATTTTCCCTCTTAAGCCTGATTTAAACTCCTGCGTCAAGCGCACGAGTATGGTCTGGCAAAGCCTTTGTGAAGGAGGTCCAGATGGAAACTTTTGTTTTGTGTTTACCTTATGATTAAAGTTGTTGCACGTCCGCCAGTTCCCACCTCTAAATGAAAGACGATTAGCTACTTGTAGCATTCAGAAAAAACAAAACACCCATGAAGGAACTCGACACAGAGGAACATAATAAGCTGACATGTAACTCGGGAAACAACCACGTGTGATCGGTTCATGAGATACCGATCTCAAGCCGATCGATTGGAGCGTCCCTAATTCAAAATGTCATAACAGAGAGAATGACACTTAATGACAGTTGTTATAATTCTCAGTTACATCCATAAATCTCATTCACATTTATGACATGGTGTCATGTCATGCTTATTAAGGTGTAATGACAGCCTTATGTCACAAAGTCAAATTCAAGCTGCATTTGATCTTGTGCCAAATGCAGTTTCAACCACATAACAAAACTGACTATCACTTGCTTGCCAGCTTAAATAAATAAATAAATATATAAGTAAGTAGTAAGTAAGTAAGTAGTAAGTAGTAAGCAAGTAGTAAGTAGTAAATAGTACAAAGTTAGTAAGTACATAGTAAGTAGTAAGAAAATAGGTAGTAAATAGTAAGTAGTTAGTAAGTACATAGTAAGTAGTAAGTAGTTAGCAAATAAGTAGTAAGTAGTAAGTAAATAAGTAGTAAGTAGTTAGTAAGTACGAAATAAGTAATAAGTAGTAAGTAGTTAGTAAGTACGTAGTAAGTAGTTAGTACGTATGTAGTAAGTAGTAAGTAAATAATTAGGAAGTAAGATGTAAGTAGTAAGTAGGTAGTATTTAGTAAGTAAATAAGTAATTAGTAAGTAGTTAGTAAGTACGTAGTAAGTAAATAAGTAAGTAGTAAGTAATGAGTAATTAAGTAAGTAGGTAAGTAGTAAGTAAATAAATAAATACATAAATGGATAGATAAAAGTAGTAAAAAGTAGTAAGTAGTAAGCAAGTAGTAAGTAGTACGTAGTTAGTAAGTACGTAGTACGTGGTAAGAAAAAAAGTAGTAAGTACGTAGTAAATACTAAGTAGTTAGTAAGTATTAAGTACGTTGTAAGTAGTAAGAAGTTAGTAAGTTCGTAGTAAGTAAAAAAGTAAGTAGTAAGTAGTAAGTACGTAGTAAGTAAATAAGTAATAAGTAGTAAGTAGTTAGTAAGTACGTAGTAAGTAGTAAGTAATTAAGTAGAAAGTAAGTAGTAAGTACTTAGTAAGTAAGTAGTAAATAAGTAAGTAGTAAGTAGTTAGTAAGTATGTAGTAAGTAAAAAAGTAAGTAGTAAGCAAGTAGTAAGTAGTACGAAGTAAGTACGTAGTAAGTAGTAAGAAAATAAGTAGTAAGTAAGTAGCAAGTACGTAGTAAGTAGTAAGTAGTTAGTAAGTACGTAGTAAGTAGTTAGTAAGTAGTAAGTAAATAAGTAGTAAGTAAATAAGTAGTATGTAGTAAGTTAGTAAGTACGTAGTAAGTAAATAAGTAATAAGTAGTAAGTAATTAGTAAAAAGTAAGTAGTTAGTAAGTACGTAGTAAGTAGTTAGTAAGCACGTAGTAAGTAGTAAGTAAATAAGTAGGAAGTAGTAAGTAGTTAGTAAGTACGTAGTAAGTAAATAAGTAGTAAGTAAGTAGCGAGTACGTAGTAAGTAAATAAGTAGTAAGTAGTAAGTAATGAGTAATTAAGTAAGTAGGTAAGTAGTAAGTAAATAAATACAAAATAGATAAATGGATAGAAAAATAAATAAATTAATGTTTCTAAAATTAACAACATCAAAAAACTCCAGGGTTGTCATGTACAAAGCTTTTTGTACAAACCTTCCTAAAAGTGAACGTATGAGAGAATACATCTGAATTTATTTATTATAAATATAGGTTGATGTTTCCAGTCCCGGTTGGGCCAGTTGTCATTTCTATGTGGAGTTTGCATGTTCTTTCAGTGTTGGCATGGGTTTTCCTTCGGGTGCTCCGGTTTCCCCCACAGTCCAAACACATGCACTACAAGTGATTTGGATAAACTAAAGTGTGTATGGATGTTTCCCAGTATTGGGTTGCGGCTAGAAGGGTATCCGCTGCGTAAAACATATGCCGGAAAAGTTGGTGGTTCATTCCGCTGTAGCGACCTCTGATAAATCAGAGACTACGCCGAAGGAAAATGAATGAATGTTTAAATATAATTAAATAAATAATAATAATGTACATATAAGTAATATAACAGCTGACCTGGTTTGTCTGGTGAAGTCTCAGCAGCGGACGATCCAAACAAACGTGAGATGAATCCTCTTTTCTGTGCAGCAGGAGCTGCAAGTTGGGCAGGAGCAGGTGTCGGTGTGGCGGGTGAAGCCTCTAAGGTTTGTGATGGTGTCTGGTGGACTTGTGTGGCTGTGGTCTGGGCTGTAGGGTGTGGTATAGATGGAGGAGGTGGTGGGGCAGGTGTCTGAAGTGGGACAGGAGCCTGTGGGGTGCTGGGGCTAGAGTTACTGGGAGAAGCGGCTCCAGGAAGAACCACAGGAGACTGGGAGCCAGATGACGGGCTCTGGCCATTAGAGGGCGCCGGAGAGCCGTAAGCTTTGCGTGCTTCCATCATCTCAAGAAATCTGCAAACATAATTGATGGAAAACTTTGATTAGTTGACATTTTTGTCTGAGTGGATGAATCTTGAAGAAATTATAAAACAATATTAGCTTGACTTGTTTTAGTTTTAGTAGCAAGATCAGAATCCGTTTTACTGCCAAGTGTGCTTCACACACAAGGAATTCAGAAGCTTCCAGTGTACATAAAGTGACAACACAAAATAAATATGAAAGAAGGGCGATAAAAATTAAACATGATGCAGTTAGTCAAAAAAGCTCTGGATGTTAAGTTGTATGTACAGATTTGTTAGAAATATACAGGTTATACGGTGCTGTGTACAAATGCATATGTAGAAAGTACTGCATTGTATATTGATAAAAGGTGCTTTGAACAAGTGTGTATGAGAAAGTATTGCACATGTTTATTGCACAGAAGGAGAATATTTAACTGTTCATGAGGTAGATGGCCTGAGGAAAGCAACTTTTCCTGTGTCTGGCTGTTTTTGTGCTTGGATCTCTGAAGCACCAGTTTAAACAGGAAGTGTGCTGAGTGCGAGGCGTCCAGAGTGATTTTGTGAGCCCTTTTACTCACTCTGGAGGAGTACAGTTCTTGAAGTGTAGGAAGGCCAGCGCCAGTGATTCGTTCAGCAGTCCGGACTATTAATAATCAAGCGACGCGATTGACCCAGGCATTTTAGTTGTTTGTTTATCTTTCAATTTCTAAATATGCTTGGTGACTAAAATATTATTTTAATAAATATATCTGTTTAATAAATCTGTTTTGTTTAAATGCACAAAAACAAATTGCCTATATTCACTGAGAAATGGATACAAATATTAATTTTCAAAATGGGCTGTACTCAATTATGCTGAGCACATGCAAAATGAAAAATAGCATTTAAGGCTTCTTAATACGTAATGAAGGGTCTTCAGTTTCTCTAAATTGATTTATCAACTTTTAATAACTTTTTAAGATCCAGCGAACACCATTTGTACTGTATGTGTGTGTGTGTGTGTGTGTGTGTGTGTGTCATAGTTTGTGGGAATTTATTTGGTGCGCAAACTCACAGTAAATTTCAGATACAGCCAAAGGCTTTGTGAATGTACTGAGTCTAAATATACTAAGGCTGCATCCAAAAATCGCATACTTCCATCCTATATAGTACGCTAAAAACAGTATGCGAGAATAGTTTGTCAGAATTGATAGATTTCGTAAAACAGTATGCTAGAAGTACCCGGATGACCTACAGTAATACTTAAAGCAAGATTCTAAAGTTTGCATCCGATGCACGCTACTCTATTCCATGATGCACCACGAGAGAATTCATGAATGGGAGTGAAGTGACGTAACTGACGCGGGTAGGTCATGTAGTCATGACAAAATGGCGGCAGTAGTACGTCTGAGTTTCATTCATAGTACTCACATTCATAATGTATAGAACGTACTTTTCTGTTGGCCAAGTGATACATTTAAGTTCAAACGCAGTACCTAGGCGTTTTCGGAGGCAGCCTAAGTATTTGCTGTACTGTACGTGTGTGTGTATGCGTGGTTTGACCCTCACATGTCAGCTCATGGGAATTTATTTGGTGCGCAAACTCTCACAGTGAATTTCAGGTATAGCCATAGCCTTTGTGAATGTACCAAGTCTAAATATAATAAGGCTGCATCCAAAAATCTCATTCTTCCATACTACATAGTACGCTAAAAACAGTATGTGAGCAGAGTAGTGTGTCAGAATTCATAGAATTGGAAAAACAATATGCAAGAAGTCCCCGGATGACCTACTACTTCCGCCGAGACTCTGAGGTTTGCATCTGGTACGCACTACTCTATCCCATGATTCACTACGAGAGAATTCATGAATGGGAGTGAAGCAACGCAACTGATGCAGGGAGTTCACATGATCATCACAAAATGTCGAATGTAGTATGTCCGAGTTCCATTCATAGTACTAGCATTCAAACTGTGTAGAACGTACTTTTACTCCTAATGGTCGGGTACTACATTTAAGTTCAAACGCAGTACCTACTGTGAAGTAGGCGATTTCGGAGGCAGCCTGAGTGTGTGCAGTACTGTACGTGTGTGTGTGCGCATGACCCTCACATGTCATAGTTCTGGTCCTCTGTCTCCTGCTGAACACTGAGCTCCTCCAGCGTGGCATCGATGTCAAGCTGATTTGTCTCCAGTTGCCGTAACAGAGTCTCCCTCTGCAAACATCAAGCACACCGTAAACCCACAGGACGTCCACACTGACCTCCTTTCTACTCAAGCAACCGCTTTCCGCCTTAGTATCCCTAAATAAGGAGAACTGGAGATTAATCAGCACACAGACAATTCATTGGCAACTAAATGAATAAATAAAATGCAGAATCCCTGAGTGTGTTTAAATCACTTAAAAAGGACTTAGGGGTAGAGAGACAGGCAGATTTTATTTGACTTTAACATCTATTATTATGTGTTTATAATTATTATTTAATTATTTTATTATTACCACCTTTTTTACCGTTTTATTTATTACCACCTTTTTTGCCTATCCTGGTATGTACAGATATGGCTACTGAGAACGCGCAAGTGTTTTAAAGAGAAATCGCACAACTCCCCGGTAAAGTCCGTGACACCACAACATGGTTTAACACAAGAAATACATGGCCAGCAGGGGGCAGTTATGTAACATGGTGAGCATACTGAACTGATCCAGTATATTGAGCACATGAGCTACCTGTAAACGGTGTGAAAACATATACATTATAAACATATACATTATAGTTGAACTTTTTAAAATGCCAATTTTGGAGTGTCTATTTAAGTGCACACCCCTTTGGAATATGTTAGTCGAGTGCTGGAAATATTTAACATTTAATGACATGTACTGTATGATCACTACCTGTAATGCTGTGTTCACACCAGACGTGAAAACGTGGATTTGCTATTCGCGCGTAAATAGCCGCGTGAACATTTGAGTTTACTCGCTTCATTCGCGCGTCAAATCCGCTTCATTCGTGCATTAAATTCACTTCAGAACAGACGCGGATTCGTGTGATGGGCAGGGCTTCTGTCTGCCCAGTGACTCTAGCTTCGTAGCTAAATGGCTAACATGGATTTTATGAAGAAAATAACAGTGTTTATGTGCTTTATGAAGACTGAAAAACAGCGTTGATTTGTTTAGGGTCGTGTCTGAGTCCACTACATCCTTCAGAGGTGCATCCAGCTCTGTGAGCTCATAAACTCCTCCAGAAACTGAACATGGATAATGGAGGCTTTCAGCGGTGCTTCTGACTTAGCCAAGCCCAGTTTGATGACTTGTTGTCGGTGTCGCCTGGAGGATTTCCTCCGGGACACCATCAACAGGTTCTACATCAATCACGCCCCCACAAGAGCAAGCTTCTGATTGGTTAACGTGGCGCAAATGTCCGCTGAAGTTCAGATTTAATTTTTATAATTTTGTTAAACGCACAAAACGCTCAATTCGCACCGCACCAGTCGCGTGTATCGTGCCACAGGATATCTATTCGCGCGTTTGCATTGAATTACCATGTTAATCACTAGCGCTTAACGCACGTTCCGCGTCTGGTGTTAACGCAGCATTAGTCAATGAAAAAGCGGTTGTTTATTGCGCCACCTGGTGGCTATTGCGTAAAGCACAGAAATGTTTTTTTTTGTTAAATGAAAAGGCGGCCTTTACAACCGCAGTATTGCACGTGACTGCAGTTGACAAATTGCAGTATTGCGCGTGCAACAACGCACATTCTTAGTAGCCAAATCTGTATCTTTTACTGTTGCACATTTTACATCTGCAAAGTGCCTTGAGATGCTACTTTTAAAGGCGTTATATAAAAAAATAAAGCTTATTATTATTATTAAAATCTTCATAACAGACGCTTAAATGTGCACAAACTAATAAACAGGGTTAAACAATTGGGGTTAACAAGTTTGTTCAAAGTCATGGCAGTAAGACGTGGCCTTTAGCTGAAAAAGATAGCAAGGAGAGGAAAACAGATCTGGACTCTGCTCTGAAAGTTTCATGAGTTTGACATGCTGTGGCGTGGGATTTGCATACAAGTTTGAACAAGTTGATCAAGCGATATTCATCATAAGATTAGGTTTATGATAGAATCACATTTACTTTTTTGTGATTGATTGCTGAACTTGCATAATGGTATACGAGTCACAATATTGACCTAAGCTGCTTAAAAAGTTACTTTGACAGGTATATTAAGGAAAACTGCTTTATTGTATATGCATGTTCAGCGAAAACTTGCAATTTTAAAAGCCTTATTAAGTACACTCACTGGCCACTTTATTAGGTACACCTTACTGGTACCAGGTTGGACCCCTTTTGCCTTCACAACTGCCTTAATCCTTCGTGGCATAGATTCAACAAGCTACTGGAAATATTCTTTAGAGATTTTGGTCCATATTGACATGATAGCATCACACAGTTGCTGCAGATTTGCCGGCTGCACATCCATGATGCCAATCTCCCGTTTCACTACATCCCAAAGGAGCTCTATTGGATTATGATCTGGTGACTTTTGAGGCAATTTGAGTACAGTGAACTCAATGTCATGTTCAAGAAACCAGTCTGATATGATTTGTGCTTTATGGCATGGCGTGTTATCCTGCTGGAAGTAGCCATCAGAAGATGGGAACACTGTGGTCATAAAAGGATGGACATGGACAACTGAATGTTATTAGTTATTACTAGGCCCGCCCGGAATATGCGCATGGAGAACTCCGCAGATTTTGCGCAGAATTTTAGCCCATCATTATTTCTGTTCATTTACATAAGTAAATGTGTGTAAATCTATATTTATTCAGTTTTTTACTTAATTTCAGTAATTTTATTGACTAATGTGAATGCAGTTTGTACAGTAATATTTCCTGTCTTTTACTATATATATTATATGACAAACTTGCTTTATTTAAAAATAAAGTGAATCTAACTGGATTTGCATTTTAAACATTAAATAAAAGTAAAAATATATATATTTTTTATTTCATATATTAAGGTTTTAGTTCTGATACTCCCAAAATAATTCCGCAGAAATCCGCAGACTTTTACCAAAATTCTCCACAAAAATAGCAAAAAACGTCCGCAGATTTCGTCTGGCCCTAGTTATAACCTTTATTTAATAAAATGATTATGACTTATGATAATCAGATTACGGTTATGATTTTAATGCATTATTGGGCAAATAGGGTAACGCTTTAGTTCAGGTCACCGTTCATGCTCTTGTTACTTGCCTATAATTAAGATGCTAACTGTTCATTAATGTTTACAAAGTATAATATTATTCTGCATCCCTAAGAAAATAAACCTAACCTCTGCCTGACTAACTAGTAATAAACAGCTAACAAGTAGTTTAAGCTAATAGTGTTAGTAAATGGTGATTTGAACAGTGATTTGAACTTGAGCAAATTACTCATAAGACAGGGACTTTCTGCCACCTACTGGTGTTTTTAGCTAATGTACTAGCAGAAAAACATACTCGGGGAAAATATAATGTAACTATAAAAACATAAATGCTAAATATATATCTACAGTGCTCAAAATATACAAGTACACCCCTCACAAATCCCTCAATTAAATAAATATGTTCTACAGGATACTTTACAATATTATATTTGTGCATTTATATTAGATTAATCAGTAATGAAGCCAAATATGGAGCTAATCTAACGAAATAACTTTGATAACGGTCGAAAAATGTGCAGGCTAAATTTATGTGTGAGGGAAAAATATTAGATAAAAATAAAAACATTGAAAAAAGAGCAAAAATCAAGAGAAACAAAAAAATATATTAAATTGTTGCAGTATTTTGCATTAACTTAAATGTAATACCTTTCTATTTCTAAAGATGTTTGGGGACTAAAACATTTTATATTTAAATATATCTGTTATATAAAACATTTTAATAAATATATCTGTTTAATAAACATGTTTTGTTCAAATGCACCGAAATATATGACCTATATTGATTAAGAAATGAATATAAGTATTAATTTTCAAAATGGTGTGCACTCATTTATGCTGAGCACCGTATGTATAATATAAGTTTTGAACAATAATATCACACAACCTTAAACAGTACCCCATAAAACAACATTCATCTTTTGTTTCTCTTTGGTTTTGTTAGCTATAAGCTTTAAATGGAGAAGTTAATTTCTCTAACAGCACCCATCAAATACGCTAAAACCGCTCCAATGACCTACTAACTGTGGCGTGGCCTCAGGAAGAGATGCTGACACATAAGACAGAGCAGTCACCATTGATCCTGGCCTTTATTAATTAATGCCATTCAGTCTCAAGAGACACATAACAAGGATACGAGGAACAACTTTAACACTAATGACTAAATCTGTTGAGTTTAAATCTGCTGGTCCACAGCTGCCTACAGCTTCAGTAAAGTTAATTACCATAAAGTTTACACGCATTTCTGACTAAAATCAGCGGTGGTGTTGTTATAAAATTAAAATATATCTATTTTAAAAATCAATTAAAATGAAAACATGTAAATAATATAAAAAAAAAATTATTAAGATGAGAAAAGTAAACCTAAAAAAGAGATTAATTGAAAACTAACTTAAAATAATTTTAAGTTAAAGTACTAATATCCCTAAACGTTAAATAAATGTAGAAATAAATGCTGAACAAAAATACTGAAAAACCCTACTAAGAAAACAAGCCTAGTAACTAATAAAAAAGGCACATCACTAAAATAAAACAAAGAAAATTAAAATAAAAACTTAAAATATAAATATAAATATTACTATACTGTAGACTTTTATAGTGAATATCATATTTATATTTTTAGCATTTAAGTTTTAGTGTAAGTAATGTGTTAGACAATAGTACGAAATAAATAATGATCAATTCACAGAAATAAACAACACACTGATATCAATTTCTAGTATTTTTTATAAACTAATATATACTATTTATATTTTTTAATTTTAAATAATAAAGTCATTTAATTGATTGATTAATTAAAAATGTATATTAATATTTAATGATAGCCAAGTTGTGACTTTAAGGGCTTAGTTGTGGACTAGTTTGGTTGGGTTGATTAAAGGCATAAAAATATGATTCTGTACAGAGATACTGCATTGATTTCTGTATTTTGATACGAATCAATAAAATTGTTAATCACTAAAAATGTATATTAATTTCCATGTTTCTTCCAAATCTGGAAATCATGGAATTTTACTAATGAAATGCATGATTTAAACAATTACATATCTTGCTCGTTTTCCCTTCCTATAAACAAGAGTTAATACTTACACTGTAGTAAAATAATAGCATTAATACTAAAATAAAAGTGTTAATACTAGCGCAAAAAAACATTCTTAGCTTTTAGTACTAAACATGCATTAATATGCATTCATGTTTGCACCTTAGCACCATTCAGGCACCTTAAAAACCCTTTTTACTAAACTACAACTTTTGTTTAATATTTGATTAAGAATGGATCTGAATTGAGACCCCATTGTCCTCTTCTGACTGCACATGACATGATGATAAAACTAAACACTGAGCTTAGAGCAAACCGTCATCCTTGTCTTAGGAGTTTCCTCTGACCTGTAGCTGCAGGAACGGGATGTTGAAGAAGCGATGGAGGTATTTGAGACCAAAGCCGTTTTTCATGGAGGACTCGGCATAGTGGATGTAGGAGGAGCCTGGAGGTCTGAAAGCAAAAGCAGGAAACGTGGCATGATTCATAACAGCTTTGCTTAGTATATTTAGAGACAATTGTTTTTATAAGGAAGATGAAAAAAACCTTTTGTCAGTAACATTATTAAATACAGATCTTGCCAGTATATAATGAAACTTTTGATAGCCCTAATGCCTGATTGTTAGCGAATATATGAATTGTTTCACTCAGAATGTGTGTAAAATACCTTATTTAATCATTTTAAATGAGTTTAAACTGCATGATTTTAGCCCCGATTTTGACACATCGACAGATTTTGAGAAATCGCCAACAAATGTCTGAAATCACAGGCAAATCAGAGCTCGTTCATGTGAGTGACAATCACACAGTGTGAACTATCAAAGATGCAATCAGAGAATCACTGACGAGTCTCTTACACCCTTGAGATATTTGGCATGCTAAATATCAGAAGCTATTGGCAATTCAAAATCATGCCTTGTGAAATGAGTTCTGATTGAAAATAACATTAGCGATTACCTACAGCCAATGAGACAGCAGCATCCACTAGTGTGGGTATCTGCAGGCCAGCGGGAGGTTGAGGGAGAAGTTAAAAGGGCTTCTTTTCGGTCTATTTGGACGCAAGAAATGGAGGAAAAACTAGTGGAAATTTGGAAGGAGCACCCATGTCTGTTTGACGTGAGCAATTCCACGACTGGGCTTAGACAAATTGCTTATTCCCTTCAAAACTACCACATGATATACTATGTGACCCTTACATTGTTTCCACACAGCCGTGACAGAACGCTACCTCAGATAGTCATGCAGTGTGAAAACATCTGTTGCTACTTTAAAAATCGTACAGTCTGAACTCACCATAAGTTGTACTACGAGACTCTGTAAGCTCCTAGTGTTGAGAGTTAATCTTGAACTGCCCACCTGTTCAGACTGTTGATGAAGTCTCTGATGTCATCAGGTAGGATGACCCTGTGCTCGCCCATGTCCCGTTGGTTACCCAGGACACACACTGGGATGTGCGTTGGCACTTTTGGCAGCTCCCTAAGAATGTAATTAAATGTCCTGCAAAATAAAAAAAATAGAGTTGCACCATTACACACGTTTAAGATCTGAGTTCATTAAAAGTCAGTGATCTTCATTGGCTGATTGACATACGAAATTAAGCAGGTCTTAGACCGGACAAGAAGTACTGCATTAAATTACATTTTTCAGCGCCATGTTTTAAAATATGGAAATTTATTTTACCCCAGTATTTCTAGTGGAGTTTCTGTGCTCATCTGCTGCTCCTGGCAGCTCTTTTGTTTACACTGTATTTCATCTTGTTTTTAGGTTTGAACAACTAAATGAATGCTTAAGTCCATTTAACTGGATGTATTTTGATTACATTACAACATTGATGCTGTAAAAGGAACCTTATGAAATTGAAAATAGTCACATAAACCTTTTACCAGAAGTTAATCGTGGGCTGAAAGCACAAGCTGTGCATATAGCCCATTGTGTATTTCACAAATGTAAGTTTTAGGGTGCTTTCCCACCTGTAGATTGATTGTTTTGTTATGAAACAGGTATTAAAATTGTTACAATGTTTATTTTTGCAAGGTTTCCCATGGCAAAGTTCGTAAACAAAGCAAGTAAACTCTTCTCACATTGGTCAGAGTCTGCTTTATTTTCCTGGATACAGTTCAGCTGTCAAACATCCTTATTTTAATTTATGATGATGAGAAATAAGATGCACTTTAATTTTGATTGGTGACACCCACAGACAAAGTCTCCAAATATAATTCAGAGGTAAGACTTCCTGAAACATAGCCTCATTTTAGTGGTCAAAGGTTGTAACATATACATTATATATACATATAGATACACAAACGCACACATATATACATATATATATATATATATATATATATATATATATATATATA